TCTATATTGGTGCGGTGGATGGTTAGATTGCTTAGTGTCTAGCTTTTTCTTTCTCTGCAGTAGTGGTCTGGTTACAGTAGGTTTACCACCTGCATGGGTGGATGTATCTGAAGAAATAGCTGCTAATGTGCAACGAGTGAGAACAAAAATGGCTGAGCTAGCAAAGGCTCATGCGAAGGCCTTAATGCCATCATTTGGAGATGGTAAAGAGGATCAACATCGGATTGAAGGTCTTACCCATCAAATAACTGGTTTGTTGAAGACATCAGAAAAAATGTTACACCGGCTATCCAGGGCAGGACCTTCTGAAGACTCAAATGTCCGGAAAAATGTGCAGGTTTGACATTAATTGCCATTGTTTTGTTAATGTGATTTGTTGCTTGCAGCAAATATTAGGATGCTCTATATACCTTAATTTTGATCAATTTTTTTTAAAATAGTAATTTATCTTATAATGTTGGTCACCAGGCCTTACTTTAGGAAAATCTTATTCATTCACTATTCTACACATCTTCCTATCAACTGCATATTATGATTTCAGTTGTCAAGTGAACCAACTATAACAGTTTGGGTTTAAAAAACACATAGCACTGTAGAGTCAACTTTTGTTTCATACTATTCAACCCTACATAATTGGCTGACAAATCTATAAGCGAACAGTGGTAGAATGTTATCAACCCATTCCATCTAGGCATGAATTTTGGTTGTTGGCATGCATAGTCAATTATAGAATGCTTATCCTGCAGGAATTTGAACTTTTTTATTTGTAATGACAATATGTGCCATCATTTTGAAGAGAGTAAGTTTAAGAAAAACTCTGGTATGAAAGATTTATGGTGTTACTAATAGAACATGATAAACTATAGAGTTAGCAAATATTTAGTTTTTTCATACCAAAGCTATTGAGTATCGACTCTAATCAAAAGTATTGGAAGCAAAATTGATACTGATCTGGAGTTCTCTAATGGTTTGTTCTTTCTTGGTATACGAAACATTCTAAGCTTCATCCCCATTTAGTGCAACTCCCAGACGTTGTGTCATCTGTCTGATACACAAAAGACCACACAAATAAGCTTTACACGCATATGAAATCACAAATGATTACCCTTTTGTATATTTTCTTACCCTAAATTTTCTTTATGACAGCGCTCTCTCGCAACAGATCTTCAAAATCTGTCAATGGAATTTCGCAGGAAACAGTCTACTTATTTGAAACAACTACGTCAACAAAAAGAGGTGAATGTCTTCTAGCATTTTCGAGATGACAATAAATAATTCAATTGAAGTTTGGGTTTGCGTGGTCTGGCATTCTCAATATAAAGACTGGAATTGGTTCATCAAGATTACCAATCTGTCTTCTCGTGTTTAGTCCGACTTGCATATGTTATCTAGTTATATGCCTAACCTCTCTTTTCTTAGTCTCCTATTTTGAAATATAGATTAACAATCCTATCCTAACACATTCCATTTCCTGTAGGCTCCAGATGGTGTTGATTTGGAGATGAATTTCAGTGAAAGTCATGATGATATGGATGAATTTGTATGTATATCTATTTCTGATACCCTTTTTAGTCATCTGCTTTTTTATCAAATGCTTGCTTACTGTGAATACTTACTTACCTATGAATTGGGGCTAATCTTTACTCATGATGGTGGATAACTACATACGGCCAACATTTGGATTCCTTGCTGTCAATGGTCTTAGGGATTTAATGAGCATCAAATGTCAAAATTAAAAAAAAGTGAGGCATTCACAGCAGAAAGGGAGAGGGAAATACAACAGGTAATTTGCATCAAACTGTCTTGCATCGTTGCTAATAATTTTTAGTAATAAATTATATATGGATATATCATATGTGTGTGTATATTTCTTTGATATGATAGGTTGTAGAATCAGTTAATGAACTTGCCCAAATTATGAAGGACTTGTCAGTTCTAGTGATTGACCAGGTTAGTAAATAATGATATACTGAATTTGTCATCATTCAGTAGAAGCTTCTGAACAAATTCCAGGTGATATGTTAACCAAATGTATATACATCTGAGCAGGGCTCCATCGTGGACAGGATAGATCATAATGTTCAGAATGTTGCTGCGACAGTTGAGGATGGCCTCAAACAGTTGCAAAAGGTTCTTATTGTCCTTTCCTTCTCCTTTCTCTCATCATTGAAGTTCACACAAATGGGCACATACAAAACACATTGTGGAAACACTATTTTGCTTCTCGCTTTTAGTTAGATATATAATGTTTGTGTTGGGGGTCAATGTTGAGTGCAGGCAGAGAGAAGCCAGAAGAAAGGAGGGATGGTTATGTGTGCCACAGTGCTAGTCATTATGTGTTTTGTAATGCTAGTCCTTTTAATTTTGAAGACAATACTTTTCTAATCTGTTATAAAATGGTTCTTATATTCTTTTTACCTTCATCTTGTACCGCGCCAGAGTATTTACCCACTTAACATGTGGCCAATAGAAGAACTTCAAATTTTTGTTCCTTCATCAGTTACTTATTCTACTGCCCCTTGTTATCAGGGGAAGACATTGTGTTGTTGAGCTGATTAATACAGCTCAAGAGGCCTTTGTATAGAAGAGAATTAAAGTGTAATATGTTGAATATTTTTTGGGAGCAAGGCATGATAGTATATATTTCTATTGATTCTTTTATCTCGTAGAGTTTTTGCTACTCTAAAACATTATCAAGTTTGGAGATGTTGGCTGTTGTTTATTACTCTTGAAGAAATTCATATTTCACGTCCTTTTTTGCACCTCTCATTTCCTCTGCGTGCTTATGTATTTTGGACGATGAACTTGAAACTGTACTAAAGGACGTTGTATTAGAATGAGGACATGAGGTATTGCTATTTTTTGTATTAGCTCATAAAAGATCTCATGGAGAGGCATGAGCTTATGTATTAGAATGAGGACATGAGGTATTGCTATTTTTTGTATTAGCTCATAAAAGATCTCATGGAGAGCCGGAGAGGCATGAGCTTATGTCCGGTTTCACACTTTCACTTTCACCCCATATCAAAATAGATCATAATTAAATAAACTAGTCCAAATTAGTCAGACCAGATCAGCAGTTATAAAATAGACATATATTAGGTGGCTACTAGATCAGATCAAACCAGAAAATTGTAGTTCAATTGAAAACATCCATATTGAGCTACTTTTGGTCAATCTTTTGTGACAATTATTGTATTACGCAAATGACATAAATAGGGCTTTACACCTAGAAAAAAATTTGAGCCCAAAGTGTAACATCACAAACTAGGGATAGATTCGGGTCGACTGTCACTATTTCGGATCGGACTGAGTCATTTTTTGGTCCAAGGTCAAGACTGGGTACTCGATCAGACGTGAAATATATGTTTAGGGTACTGCTACAATAACCTCATAAAATTTTAAATATCTCCCATGATTCTAATTAACACTCCATATAACTTATAAATGAGTTGATGTGAAATAGTTTATAGAAATTATAAATATGGCATGTTCTACACATGGGGTGTGAGATAGCACATTAACACATGTAGAAAGCTCAATGCAAAATGATTTTATACAAGTCAATCATACATTCATACGTATATTCTAATTCAAAACTATTTTCTTTGAACCTTTATTTTCTTTATAATACTGATTACGGGCATAATTTGATATCAACTACTCTAGAGTGTTTTTTCATATATTTATTGATAGAAATATTTGTATTGTATATATCTAAATATCTAATGATTCTGAATATTTTTCTAAAGCAGAATGTTGGACTATATGTCATCATAAAATCATAGACAATTAGGGTGTGCCGGTGTGGAGATTTTCACCCCTTTGTAGAGTGAACAAAATTGATTCCGACACATTTTATATTCCTTCTAGTAGTGATAGATATTTAGTGCAACACCTCAAGTCTCTATTTATAGTAGTATTTAGACTCGACGTAGAATCATTAATGTACGATTTTAATGTTTTAATGAACTGTCATGTTTTTATTAGAGAATGAAAATTTGTTATTATCCCGAATTATAAGGATGATTTAATTAGTACTTGTAGGTTCTTACTAGGATATTACATCACGGCATTATCTATAATCAAGATAATCATACTTGTATGATTGATAAGTTTTCAAAACCACTAGGTCTTAACATAAGGTAAATTCCACATTAGCTTTGTGGGGATGGACAGATTGTAGGATTTGATTATAATTTATGTTAGAGTGATTCTATTATTTAAGATAAGTAGAAGAGTGTGTATTTACTTGCTAGAATGTGTATGAATTTAGGAAATTACTTTTTAAGAGTGATTTGAATGTAGAAATGTGAGCTAAATTGTGGGTTATGAGCGAGTCAACTTTTACTTATTTGCTCAATCCCTAGCTATTGAAATAAGTAAAAAGGAATAGCTTAGCTTGGTTTAGGGTAGGAGTGGACCCGGATCGGTACGACCGCCCAATCCCGGCAACATTTTGATGAGGGCTGAGCCGGAACCCCTATTGTTCAGATACAAGGGCGATTCAGTCCTAAAAATGGCCACTTTTTAAAAATAGAATTAATAATGAAAGTTATATTTCACATACATGTGTATATTTATGTAGATTTTATTTATGTGTGCATACGTACCATTTAGGGAAAATCGCATATATGATCCCTCTGTTATCCACGAAATTAAAATCACAGACTTGTATTTTTGATATTGTAAATGTCACCCCTCAATTGTCCAAATTGGTGTAAATGTAGCCCTTTAAGTAATGAAATCTACTCTCGCGCCTCATTGTATATTTCACCCCTCAAAAGGACCACATTTACGGCATTTTGGACAATTGGGGTGACATTTACAATCTTAGTGATACAGATGTGAGATTTTAATTTCGTGGATAACTGAGGGACAATATATGAGATTTTAATTTCGTGGATAATTGTCCATGAGATTTTAATTTCGTGGACAATTGGGTGACATTTACAATTTTCCCTACCATTTATTTGTAGATTTTATGCCAAAGTGTCTGGCAGTGTAGAAGTTTGGTGTACACCAAAATTCAGTGTAAAACCATCTTTTTTGCAGGGTACCCGCCTCAACTCCTTCAGTCCGTTTGAACACTGGACAAAACACCAAACGACTGCCCTGGGACTCCTTCAACCGCGCCTGACGACTGTCGCGACCTTTGTTCATACTTCAGTTGCGCCACCAGAGCAGGTTGAAGCATTGGTGTTCGAACGTCCACAGCTCCGCGACCACAGTCGTCCGTGAACATAGCAACGTTAACAGCCGCCCCTTAAGGTAATCTAGGTCCTTTTTAATTATGATCTATAGTTGGCCTAATAAATTGTTGGATTGTTATCAACTTTTGTTGTAAATGTTGTTCAAGTAAGTATGAAGTGTAGATAAGGCGTTTGAATAAATGTTTTAAAAAGTTTATTTGAAGTAGTTTTATACCAACTCCATTCCACTCCACTTTGACAAGTCAATGTTGGGTGTGAAATTAGAATAGTAAAAATTATGTGATTGAGTTTTGTGCAAATGAGAAAGTATCACTTTAAAATGAAAGTGACCGTTTTTGGGACAAACAAAAAAGGAAAGTTGGCAAAGTACACGGGATGGAGGGAGTATCTTTTTAATGTGTATGTGAATAGTAGATAAGATGTTTAGTAAAATGTCTAGTGTATGTGTTTAGTATATGTGAACTGTAGATAAAGTGTTAGATAAAATGTTTGAGAGGGTATGTAAAGTAGTTGAATTAAGCAATAAATATGAATGCAGTGTTATTTAGTGATATTGTATTAAGCAATCTAGTATGACTGATTACAGTGATTGGAAGTAGTATTGTTTTTAGAGAAGTTTAGTGTTAACCGAACCTAAAATGGTCTTAGGGTAGGTGTATCCAATTAGTGTTGGCCGAAGCCAAAATGGTACCTAGTAGGGGTAAAATGGTATTTTGGCTCCCCGATAAACTTGAGCAATTGTGTCCGCGGTCGCCCGAGCAGGGGTGCCGATTTCGGGTTTTTACTAAATGTTCGGTATATATAAAGTGTAAAAGTTGCTCATCAAACTAGCGTGGGAAATAAGTAAAGTTTTATTCATTTGAAATATCATCAGTTTTCCAACAACGGGGTACAACAAACGTTATAAACTGAAAGAAGTAAAGTTTTATTCATTTGAAATACCTTCTTTTTTTCAACAAAGGGTACACCAAACGTTATAAACTGAAAGAAGTAAAGTTTTATTCATTTTAAATACCTTCGTTTTTTCCAAGAAAGGGTACATCAAACGTTATAAACTTCCTATGCAATTGCAAAAACAATAATCCCCTTTCTAGTAGCTTTTTTTACATGCAGAGAAAGAATCTATATTCTCCAAGCAATAGTTGAGTTAATAGTATAAATTGGGAGTTGGAAATATGAGTTATTAGTATAAATCTTGTTTGTTATGTACTTCGTATTAATTAATAATCAGAATTTCTCGCCTTAATTTTTTCCCTAGTTCTCTTTAATTTACTACTTGTTTCATAACCAAAACGTGTTGTTGAAACTCTAAGTTATACTCTTCTTCCCTTCTATTCTTATACTAAAGCTACACACCCATCACCAAAACCTTAATTGAGCCAAGGATTTAAGGCTGCATTCAAATAGACATTAAGGTCTCATTTTGTGCTATCTATGGGTTGCTTCAACTAGTAATAATATATTCCGTATTAATGTATTATTGTTCAATTTTTCCAATAATTTCTCTACTTGGCACTATATGTTGCATTTCCCCATTTAGTAAGTAATGATTCACATATCATCATTTTCATTTACCCCAGTGCCGCAAAGGCTCCCACCTACGGTGGGGTAAGGGGGGGTAAGATGTACGCAGTCTTACCTCTGTACTAAAGCACAAAGAACCTGTTTCCGGATGACCCATAGTGAAAATCGCGTCCAAAAATGCATGGCCTGACTGCTACTTCATAACAAAGAAGCGCAGACAGTTTAGTGATCCATTTTGCTTTATTCCATCATATTCTCAAGCCAAAAAATAATGAATCTTTGGCTCCATTGCAAATGATGGAATAAGTAATGATTCACATATACCGCAGTAATTTCTTCTTTCACTTTTCAGTATAGAACTTGTGATTATTGGGCTTGAGCTTTCGGAAAATGAGGGAACTGGTGACAATCCAAGTAGGAGGCTATGCAAACTTCATTGGTTCTCACTTCTGGAACTTCCAGGTTCGTTTTTTCTTTTTGTCTTTCATTATTTCTTCAACACTTAAATGGTAATGGAGTGCATCTATTTCCTTCTACATCACCTTTCGCCTTTCGCATTACAAACTGTTGTGTAACGGAAAAATAAAATCAACGGGGTGAACCGTTGCCCAGATAATCAACGATAAAAATACCGTTGCCCAGAGCCAAAAGGCTAAACTCCAACTTTATTCATAGATGAGCAAGAATGAATCCTAACAATGGGTTTAAATACCCATCTACTAATTCTTAAACTAGGAAACAAAATCCTAGAAATCCTAATCAACTCCAACTAGGAAACAGTATAATAAAGATCCTAATCAACTTCAAATAGGAAACAAATAATAGAAATCCTAATCAACTACTAATAGGAAACAGTTAATAGAAATCCTAATTAACTCCAAATAGGAAACAAAACAGGAATATTAAAAATAATAAATATTAATTAAGCAGCCCGCAACCAGCTCACAAAGGTGGGCTCAAGCCCGTTCCCGCCTGCAGTAAACCGACAGTCCCTTGGGTCTCGGACCCTCCTCTTCCACACAGCCCCCTGCTCTGCCTGCTCTCTATCACAAACTTCAGAGATGGAATTGAAACAAAGACAGAACTTCAGTATAGTTTAGAACTTTTCTGTTTGTTGAGATATTTCTTAGTAACTCAAGCTTCTATTTTGTATATAGTAAAAGTTTGGATCTTGTGTTTTTTTGCTACCTTTTTTAAGGCTGTTGGTTTTTCTTTTGTGGTCAGAGATAACTTTCATCAGTGCATGCTTTTATAGTTTATGTAATTTGTGTGTCATTCTGGTGTGTTATAACTAATTCATCAAACTTTTTCTCAATAATGAAGGATGAATTGCAAGGATTGGCCAATAGCTCTGAGAGTAATGAAGTGTTTACGAGTCATTCTCTTAATCCAGATGTACTCTATAGGAGTAGTGAAACACAGCAGGTGATCATAGGCATCAAAATCTGCAACACGCCTTAATATGCTATGCATTTTGTAGCTGTTATGACCTTATTATGGCTTTCGTTTTAGTCATCATCTTTTACATTGCAGGGCCTCCTTACCTACACACCACGATTGGTTTCAGTTGATTTTCAAGGTGAGAAGCATTCTTCATATCACTCTCATCGCCAGTGAAAGTATTAAATGAATGACGTAGATGATTAGTCATGCAGTTAAATGTTTGTTTATTTTATTCTATTTATATTTTCATTTTATTTTATTTCATTTCATTTCGTTTTGTTCAGACACCGAAATATGAAGTCAAATAACCCCCCGGTCCTTGTTGTAGGGTCCTTTTTAAGTCATTGGTTTCTCTTGTGAAGCATTCATTGTCTTTTTCCCATTGTTTTGCCCCTGATAAATATACTTTTCAAGTTATTTTCCAAAAGTATTCATTTATGAGACATAACAAAAGAGAGTAAAAAAGTTTGGAATGTCATGATATCTTTAACAACTCAAGAAATTTAACTACTTCTGCTTTCGTTCAATTTGGTCAATTGTGCCTCATAATAAGGTGCACAGAGAGTACAGTTTTTATGCTTAAATTTGAATTTGCTATATTATGTGTGATGACCTGGTTCATGAATATCTTTGATTTAAATTATTTGAAACATTTCCAATCTGTGAATTTATAATTGACGTAAACTTATATTTCTTTGCTTTTGCTCCTGCTAGTACTATAACTACAATTTTGTAGCTCTTTACTAAACTTTTGTATCATTACTCATTAATTGTTACTTTCAGATCCAATAATGTTTAAATATGTCACATTTCAGGTTCTCTGGGATCTATGAGTTCGCGTGGAACTTTGTTTAATAAAGAGCTTTCTCAAAGTTCAGATGTTGTAGCATGGTTTGGTCTTTACACATTAGCCTTTCTTAATATCGAGCTTTGCTTCTTGGAATTGAACATATCTGGGCCAATGTGTAGGGATGGTAAAGTTACAACTGAGGCTAGTGAACCTTTGAAAAAGAACCTCTTCTTGCAAAGCTTGTACACGGAAGAAAAGAATACGGAAATGGAAAATTGTCATGATGGCAAGGAGAGTGGCTCCCTCAATGAAATTCAGGACACAGACATTGTTGAATGTTTAGAAAATGGTGTCCAGTACTGGACTGACTTCTCAAAAAGTCATTATCATCACCAGAGTTTGTATGAAGTAAGTGGGTTATGGATGGATGCTCAAGAATTTGATAATTATGGCATTGGGAGGGATATATTCCACACTCATCAACGCGGTGAAGAAATAAATGAAAGGCTTCGTTTCTTCATTGAAGAGTGTGATCATATTCAGGTTATACCTAATTCTAATAAGTTTTGCACCTTGCATTTTGTTGAAATATAAACTACAAAATATAATATTGAAGAGAGGAGGAAAGATTTTCTGTATTTTTCATTGAAGGATAAGGCCCTATAAATATAGATTACAAAGATAGAATATTCCTATAAAAGATTCTATACAATAATACTATATATGGTATATTCCTAATATATTCTAAAGCATATTCTAGAGTATATTCTAATATACTTTCACACTCCCCCTCAAGTTGGAGCATAGATATTTATCATGCCCAACTTGTTACATAAATAACCAACTCGAATTCCATTTAGTGCTTTAGTGAACAAATCTCCAAGTTGTTCCCCAGTCAGTCTTCACATATCCTGTAGAGATCAATCCTTTTTGTATCTTCTCTCGAATAAAATGACAATCGACCTCAATATGCTTTGTTCTCTCATGAAATACAGGATTGTTTGCTATGTGTATAGCAGCTTGGTTATCACACCACAATTTAGCTGGAATTGATGGCTTCAGTCCGAGCTCGGTCAATAAATGGCTTATCCATATGATCTCACATGCAGATTGTGCCATAGCTCGATATTCTGATTCGGCACTCGAACGAGAAACCACATTCTGCTTCTTACTCTTCCAGGATATAAGATTACCACCAACAAAGACACAATAACCAGATGTAGATCTTTGATCATCTTTAGAATTGGCCCAATCAGCATCTGCAAAACATTCTATTCTCATGTGATCATGGTTTTGATAAACAATACCTCGTCCTGGTGCACCCTTTAAGTAACATAATATGTGTTCTACTGCAGCCCAATGATCAATGGTTGGAGATGACATGTATTGACTCACTACACTCACAGAATAGGCAATATCTGGACGAGTGACTGCGAGATAATTAAGCTTTCCAACCAGTCTTCTATATCTTTCTGGGTCTTCAAACGGTGTGCCTTCTTGAGTGAGTTGCACGTTGGGAACCATGGGTGTTGTACTTGGTTTTGCCCCCAATTTCCCTGTCTCAGCTAGTAAGTCAAGTACATATTTACGTTGAGATAGAAATATGCCTTTCTTACTTCGTGTTACCTCAATTCCCAGAAAGTATTTCAAAGAGCCAAGATCTTTCGTCTGGAATTGACTATGCAGAAAATTCTTAAGGGCCAAAATACCTGCATTATCACTCCCTGTAATCACAATATCATCAACATACACCACAAGCAATGTGACACCTGATTCTGTTTGTTTGTAAAAGACAGAGTGATCTGATTTGCCTTTTATCATTCCAAATTGTTCAATTGATTGACTGAATTTTCCAAACCATGTACGAGGACTCTGTTTCAGACCATAAAGAGATTTGCGAAGTCGACAAACTTTACCATACTCCCCTTGAGCAACAAATCCTGGAGGTTGCTCAATATAGACTTCTTCCTTAAGGTCACCATGCAAAAATGCATTTTTAATGTCCAACTGATGTAAGTGCCAATCATGAGTTGCAGCGAGTGAAATAAGTAACCTGACAGATGTTAATTTAGCAACAGGAGAAAAAGTGTCAGAATAATCAACACCATAGGTTTGAGCATAACCCTTCGCAACTAATCGGGCTTTCAACCGAGCAACAGATCCGTCTGGGTTAACCTTAACAGCAAAGACCCACTTACATCCAATAGATTTCTTCCCTGTAGGCAAGTCAACCAAATCCCAAGTACCATTAAGATCTAAAGCATTCATTTCCTCTACCATGGCATGACGCCATTCAGGATGAGACAAAGCTTCTTTGACAGATTTGGGAACAGAAATAAAATCAATGGAAGCAATAAAAGAACATGAAGCAGGAGATAACTGATTGTACGACACAAATGAAGAAATAGGATGAGTACAAGACCGTGTACCTTTACGTAGTGCTATTGGGAGGTCAAGATCTGATGTGGAGACAAGATTTGAAGATGCAGGTACTGGTTCAGGACATGAGATCGGAGTCGAACTAGTATCAGGATAAGTAATCACAGGTATCGCCGGTGGAGGGTGATCAGGTGCTTTGTGTCGACGGGTGTATTACCAAATGTACGGGAGGCCTATGGTCAGGAACAGTAACTTGTGGAATATTTGTCGAAAGTGTGGACTCAGGAATAGTCATCGTGTAAATGAGTATATCATCATTACTCTCATGAATATCTGCCTTAGATGATGAAAAAGGTGTATTTTCATGAAATGATGCATCAATAGAAACAAGATACCGACCAGTACTCGGACAAAAACATCTATACCCCTTTTGGACTCGAGAATAACCCAAGAAAATACATTTTAATGATTTGGGATCTAACTTTGTAAGATGAGGATTAACATCTCTAACAAAACAAGTGCAACCAAATATTTTAGGTGGGATAGGAAAAAGCTCTTTGTTTGGAAATAGACAATGATAAGGAGCTTTACCATTCAAAACAGAAGATGGCATCCGATTTATCAAAAAACATGCAGTAGACACGGCATCTGCCCAAAACTGTTTAGGCACATTCATTTGGAATAGAAGAGCCCTTGCAGTTTCTAACAGATGTCGGTTCTTTCGTTCTGCAACTCCATTTTGAGGAGGTGTGTCAACGCATGAAGTTTGATGAATAATGCCATGTTGAAGCATAAATGACTTAAATGTAGCAGATAGATATTCTTGGGCATTGTCTCCTCTTAATACCCGAACAGGAACGTTGAACTGAGTTTTAATTTCAGCACAAAAGGAAGAAAAATGAGTGAACAACTCAGATCGACGTTTCATGAAATACAACCATGTCATACGAGAATAGTCATCAACAAAGGTAACAAAATATTTAAAACCAGCTTTAGACACAACCGGACAAGCACCCCAAACATCAGAGTGAACAAGGTCAAATGGAGCATTTGCTCGTTTATTAACTCGCGGGCTTAAGCTAGTACGATGGTGTTTCGCAAATTGACATGACTCACATTGCAAAGAGGTCATCTTATTAAATTGGGGATTTCTTTGCTTCATTAATGGGAGAGATGGATGTCCTAATCGGTAATGAGCATCTAACAAAGTCCCAACCCCAAGACAAGAGATACCTTTTGTGATGGATGTATCCAAAATATAAAGACCAGCTGACTCATGTCCTTTATCAATAATCTGCTTCGTTAACAGATCCTGAAACACACAATATCCAGGAAAAAATGTTACAGAACAATTAAGAGTACGAGTGATTTTACTGATGGAAAGGAGATTAAAAGCAAAATTAGGGAGACTCAAAACAGGCGATAATGGTAATGTCGAAGTTGGAACAACAGTACCAGATCCAAGAACGGGTGAGGTAGATCCATCAGCTAAAGTGACACTAGAAGTAGGTAAATATGAATGAAATGACGAGAATAGACTAGGATTACCGGTCATATGATCTGTGGCACCTGAGTCAATGACCCATTTCGAGGATGATGAAACAAGACATGTGTTTGAAATACCTGAATTCGCGGCTACCGAGATAGGGACAAATGAATGCTTTAGAGATTCTTGGTAGCAAATAAATTTGGCATACTCATCTGAAGAAATAGCAACTGATCCATCAGATGAACTGGTAGCGGAAGCGTCACGAGCAAACTGATTTCCTTGATTTTTGAACAACAATTTTCTACATTCTTTGATCAAGTGGCCCGGCTTCTTACAGTAATTTCATAGTACTCTTCTGTCAAATCCACTTGTACAAGACATGTTTTTTTTTTTTCGATTCTGCTTTTTTTTTTGTTCGATTTTTTTTTTTTTAAATGAGACGGCAATAAAAAAATTGAGATATTGTGAAATCTTATATCAGCTTTCCCGTTTGTGGACTTAAAACTTGGACAGTAAAATATCCAGCTTGGGATGTGTCGGTCTAAAGATGTGTCGGTCTAATGCCAGACCCAGCATGTGCGAACCATCAGTGAAGAAGCCTTTGGTCGTTCACAAATATCCTATGCGAGACCCCAGCAGATGCGAACAACCAGAGGAAGGAGCGGAAGTCACAGACGGAGAAGTAAAGTATACCTGGTAGAGAATTTTCAGGCGAGTGTCAGGCGACTAGTTCCGATCAAATCTCCGGCCAGAAACACGGCGTCACGCGCCGGCGCGTGCGTTGCTGCGGAAGCTTCTGACGGCGCGTGTAACTCACGCGAGATGATCTGGATCTGCGTACTTTGGTTTCTCGGTCGTCGGATGCAGCCGCACCACCTGGGTATGGTGGTGATGATATTTATGGTCTGAAAATTTCTGAGGTCTGGTGGGCAGACTGTATGCAAAGGAATTTTCTGGGAAATTAGCTTGGGCTAATTGATTTTCTGGGAAATTAGAATGGTGCCTAGAGGTTCTGACTTCTTAAGAATCTGAAAAACTGAACTCCCTAAATATGGAAACAGACTGGTGTCTGAAGGTTCTGAATAATCTGAAGACTGAACTCAGGTTCTTGAAGAAAGATTCCAGAATCCAGTCTGGAAATTAATTTGAAATCTTAAAAACTAAAATGGAAGTCTCTGATACCATGATGAAATATAAACTACAAAATATAATATTGAAGAGAGGAGGAAAGATTTTCTGTATTTTTCATTGAAGGATAAGGCCCTATAAATATAGATTACAAAGATAGAATATTCCTATAAAAGATTCTATACAATAATACTATATATGGTATATTCCTAATATATTCTAAAGCATATTCTAGAGTAAATTCTAATATACTTTCACACATTTGATTTTACTTTTTTCTTGAAGACCCTTTTCAATTGCTTTACTATAATAAATTGGTAAATAAATGTTTAACTTTTGTAGGCTGCCATATGCTTTGCCAGGAAAATACTTTTTGTGTGCTTTCTATTTATTCTTTTTAGCAGCATAATGATTTGTAATCGTCCAACTATTCCCTGTCACCTACGCATTGATAATTGGTTGATAACTTGATATTCATATATTACTACACCACATGAAGTTGATGGTCCAATCTTCTTACTTTCTCAGTTTCTCAGGTTTCTTCGTAGGCTGATGACAAGAATACTAAATACGTAGTATAAAGATATAAACTAAGCCGGTAATTGAGCATTTTTTTCTTTACTGTGATGATGAAAATGCTTGTTTAAATAAATCCAGGCCCTTGCGCTATTACCAATTTCCTTACTTCCTAATGCCTTACTGCCCTTGATGATATAGGTATAATCATCTTTGTAACTACTAAGTTTCCCCATTCGGATGTTTATCACGTTTGAGTCTAATATCTTCTACTTCATATATAGGTGTGAGATAAACCACACCTGTTGAGTATCTTTTTGCACAGTTAGGCTTAATTTGACATGGTATCAAGGCTTAATCCTATTATGTTTTTTCTGTCACATTTAGGGTCAATTTGTTTCATTTGTCTACACTTTCCATAGTCTAGCACGGTTAAATGTTCCACATGTGGTGTTTACCGTTTTTGAGTCAATTACATAAATGTGTGAGCTAGAACTTAGATATCAAGGATCCTTTTGGGGTAGGTTAGACCCAATTTAACATAAATTGATGACTTTGAATTGGATTAATGATTTAAAAAATGCTGGGGTTACGGTGGTGCACCGAATGGCCAGATAAATATTTACTGGCCGTTTAATCCTTTTGCAATCAATAATTAATCTGCATGTGTGCACCACCTGTGAATGATATCATCGTTAGATTAAATCAAAAGAAGAAATCATCCAGTAATGCATAATCTCATTCTGTTTTTGGATACTCGTCTTCTTCTAGGGTATACAATTCATAGTTGATGACTCTGGAGGTTTTTCTGGAGTAGCTGCAGATTTCATGGAAAGCATTGCGGATGACTATAGTAACCTCCCTGTGTTACTCTATACAGCACGAAGTCCTCAATCATTTATCAACATGAAAAGCCATAAGCTAAACATCTCGCGAAATCTTCATGATGCAATTTCATTTTCAAGACTATCATCCTTGTGTAAATTGATTGTCCCGATTGGCTTGCCGTCATTGAGTAGAAGTAAGAATTGCTGATTATCAATCACAAAAAATAACAGTTTATGCTTTTATTTATTTATTTATTTATTTATTTATTTCTTTGTTTCTTTGTTTCTTTGTTTCTTTGTTTCTTTGTTTGTTTGTTTGTTTGTTTGTTTGTTTGTTTGTTTGTTTGTTTGTTTGTTTGTTTGTTTGTTTGTTTGTTTGTTTGTTTGTTTGTTTGTTTGTTTGTTTGTTTGTTTGTTTGTTTGTTTGTTTGTTTGTTTGTTTGTTTGTTTGTTTGTTTGTTTGTTTGTTTGTTTGTTTGTTTGTTTGTTTGTTTGTTTGTTTGTTTGTTTGTTTGTTTGTTTGTTTGTTTGTTTGTTTGTTTGTTTGTTTGTTTGTTTGTTTGTTTGTTTGTTTGTTTGTTTGTTTGTTTGTTTGTTTGTTTGTTTGTTTGTTTGTTTGTTTGTTTGTTTGTTTGTTTGTTTGTTTGTTTGTTTGTTTGTTTGTTTGTTTGTTTGTTTGTTTGTTTGTTTGTTTGTTTGTTTGTTTGTTTGTTTGTTTGTTTGTTTGTTTGTTTGTTTGTTTGTTTGTTTGTTTGTTTGTTTGTTTGTTTGTTTGTTTGTTTGTTTGTTTGTTTGTTTGTTTGTTTGTTTGTTTGTTTGTTTGTTTGTTTGTTTGTTTGTTTGTTTGTTTGTTTGTTTGTTTGTTTGTTTGTTTGTTTGTTTGTTTGTTTGTTTGTTTGTTTGTTTGTTTGTTTGTTTGTTTGTTTGTTTGTTTGTTTGTTTGTTTGTTTGTTTGTTTGTTTGTTTGTTTGTTTGTTTGTTTGTTTGTTTGTTTGTTTGTTTGTTTGTTTGTTTGTTTGTTTGTTTGTTTGTTTGTTTGTTTGTTTGTTTGTTTGTTTGTTTGTTTGTTTGTTTGTTTGTTTGTTTGTTTGTTTGTTTGTTTGTTTGTTTGTTTGTTTGTTTGTTTGTTTGTTTGTTTGTTTGTTTGTTTGTTTGTTTGTTTGTTTGTTTGTTTGTTTGTTTGTTTGTTTGTTTGTTTGTTTGTTTGTTTGTTTGTTTGTTTGTTTGTTTGTTTGTTTGTTTGTTTGTTTGTTTGTTTGTTTGTTTGTTTGTTTGTTTGTTTGTTTGTTTGTTTGTTTGTTTGTTTGTTTGTTTGTTTGTTTGTTTGTTTGTTTGTTTGTTTGTTTGTTTGTTTGTTTGTTTGTTTGTTTGTTTGTTTGTTTGTTTGTTTGTTTGTTTGTTTGTTTGTTTGTTTGTTTGTTTGTTTGTTTGTTTGTTTGTTTGTTTGTTTGTTTGTTTGTTTGTTTGTTTGTTTGTTTGTTTGTTTGTTTGTTTGTTTGTTTATTTACTACCTCCGTTCTTTAATATTAGTCCTCTTAGGCTTTGGCACGGGTTTTAAGAGGAAAGTAGTAGGGGTAGTGTAAAAGGCGTAATGAGTAGTGGGTAAATGAAAAAGTAGGAAAGAAAAAGGGGTAATGGTAATAAAAGTTGGGGTATAAAGTTATATTTAGAGTAAAAACTTTCCTTAAATGGAAAGGAGGACAGATAAAAACAACGTCCCAAAAAGGAAAGAAGGACTAATAAAAAAGAACGGAGGGAGTATTTATTTATTTATTTATTTATTTATTTATGTATTTATTTATTTATTTATTTATTTATTTTTTATTTATTTATTTATTTATTTATTTATTTATTTATTTATTTATTTATTTATTTATTTATTTATTTATTTATTTATTTATTTATTTATTTATTTATTTATTTATTTATTTATTTATTTATTTATTTATTTATTTATTTGTTTGTTTGTTAGTTCAATTACATTAGCTTTTCTTCTTAATTTATTATGGAGTATTTTATTGTTTGACACTTCCCTTTACAATAGTATTTTGCTTATACACATCTAGGTAAAGCATCCAGGCTTCTCTGCATTAAAGATGAGCAGCCTTACCACACCAGTGCAGTTTATGCATCTGCTTTGCACTCTATGTGTCTTCCATTTAGAATCGAACAGCCAGGGCCCACATCAGAGTCGTCGGTTTATGCTTGTGGTGGGTTAGACATGTACGAAGCCATACACATGTTAGCAGATCAAGCTAGGCAGAATATGGTTTCTACATTAGATGTTGCCATGCCTGCTCCTTCGTTAACTGGTATTGTTATTATCCCAGTTTTAATTTTTAAACTATTAAGCATTTATAATTATTATGCAATAACACCTTGTTGAGATTATTGGTTTTAAATTTCATTTATAGGGAATACGTTTGAGTGGTCTTTGCTTGAGAATTTCCTGCCCTTGACCCCAGAGGTAGCAGAAGACGTTGAAGACCTTCATGTCATGGAATGCATGACCATTCACGGAGTCCTAAGATCTGGTATATTACGAGATATATTATGTTTCAAAATTATAATTCATTTTATGAATTGTCTAAAATTTACTACGTAATTGTTTCTTTATTATATCCTTGTTGGATGTTCATATATAATTCTACGTATTCTTTAATGTAATATGCTTTCCTATGCCCCTTTTATAGGCTGAATAATAAGTAGCTTTTGACTTGCTCTTTTAGTTGAAATCAATATCACCAATCCCTTTTTCTTTAAAAAACCAGTAAGTTCAGCGTTACCAGTCCTTTCCTTTAACCAATAGGTTCAGCATTACCATACGGGCAGTTAATGTATTCTTTTGAGCATATTAGGTTATGTTTGCGTGGCACGGTCTGGAGCGGGGCCGAAATGTACTACTTAAAAGAAAAAGCATTTTTATTTTATTTTAAATCATTGCATAATGGCCCCATCTCACCATGACCATTCACAGGAAAATTTTAACTCTAAAAACACCCATTGCCTTCCAAAAAAAAATCCATTGCAAATATGATTGGCCTTAAGTTTCCTAAGGTTACATTGACCAAAAGGTAAAAAATAGATGACAAGTTGACAAACTAAAGCACTCCAGCTCAGCTGGTTGTGAGGTTACCGTGCCTAGTGGGAGGTCTCGAGTTCGAAACCCGCTAGGCACATAAGGGTTTGAAACTCAATGGAGTGAGTTTCAGCCCTATTTACTCTAGGCCCCCAGCCCCCCTCTTCCAGACCCCCCCCCCCCCCCCCCCCCGGAGTAAAAAAAAAAACTAAAGCATTGACCCGGGGCAAAAGTATAATAGTCTCTTTGGCCTCCTCTCTTAAGTTGTCATGCTGTTCCTCTGTAGAATTCCCTATATGTGCTAACTTCTTACGGCTTATTTAGGTAACCGAAGAAGATGAGAGAGAGAAATTAATAATATATCTGTAAGGGCATGTTTGGTTTGTGAATTTTGGAGGGGAAAAGAGAGGGGTGATAGCTGTTTTTAAACCATTTCTATGTTTAGATAGTCAGAAATAATGTGAAGATAAAAGACTATATATGATGGATCATAATTAGTTATTGGGCCTACACGCTTCGATGGACCTGGCCTGAGAGCTGTGGTCTCAAAGTCCTGGGCTGAGTGTGGCATGTTGCAGCCTTGACCAAGCAGGAATGGAAAGAGCTTGATCCGCTGGGTAAGCCATGTTTGGCCAACATGCGGAACACATGTTTAATTTGAGGATGGGTTAATTCACTATTTGCCCCCTCTTCGGACTCTGAAGGAACTTTTGCTCTAGTTGTGGGGTACTCATAAGTCATAACCCATCAATGTAGAAATAATTTATTGCATGTAACCACTAGTTATTTCCTGTCTAAAACTAAAAAGTAGAAAACAGATGTGTAAAATATAAATCAATTTTTCCTCTCATTTCCTCTCGAATTCCCCAGCCAATCAAGTTTTAAGCATTTACTTCCATTTTCAGAATGCCGGAGGATACCACCAGCTTCTGAGGTTAAGAATGCAGTTCAGGAAGCATATGAAAAAACAGCAGTGTCGAGACCAAGATTCATGCACCTATCAGCAAGCTGTTGCCCTCTACCCATACCATTGTCTTTTCCCGCTATCTTTGGAAATGCCATCGGCCAAAATGGCGAGTTATTAAAAGCGCCTGATACGGCTTCCGCGCCAAGGGGGTCGCTTTCTGTTCATTCCATTCCCTTGGCAGCAAGACTGCGTTCTACCACCGCCATTTTACCCTTTTTAGAAAGGAGACTGGAAAACCTGCGGAAGCTAGGTATCCGGCAAGGAGGGGTAGGGGCCCCAGTTCTTGAGAGTTGGGGTTTTGGGAGAGATGAAGTAGAAGACTTGGGTGAGAAACTGTCACAGATGGTTAATACACTTAATCCTTATTCGGACGCATCCTCTGATTCTGATTAATTGCTCTTGTATTCTAATCAATTGTGTAAAAGAACTAGAGGATTTTTCTGGAGAAACTATAGGGATTTGTTTATTGCCAAAATTTGACTGATTGTATATTTGTATTATAACTTTATAAGTGTAGTTTTTTATAGCGAGACCTGGCATAATAGCTAGATCCGGTCTTGTCCCTAACCGGAACAGCGGGGTTAAAGTGGTTTGTATACGTGTGTATTTAGAATTTTAGATTTGCAACAAAAAAAAATTGATAAGGACACATAGTTTCGTGAAAATTGAGTGGAGAGGTAGAAGACTTTTTGTGACGCTGATTTTTTTGTTCCTCACCCGTGCTGATATAAAATAGCACCAGAAAATTGTCCTCTTGCCATGTCTTGCAACTCTTTGTAGTCCTTTTGTATATTCAAATCCAATTTTTCAATTGAAAGTATTTGTTGAATATATAGTGCCTGGATTCCTCTCTTGCTGTATATATTTGTATCCGAGTAGTGCATTTTCTAAATTAATGATAAATTTTTAAGTTGTGTTTCTAAGAAGTACTTGCTCCGTCCCTAATAACTTTGCCAAGTTTGACCGGCACGAGGATTAATGAAGTAAAAACTGTGGTTGAGGCTTATGTAGAGGAGAGAGAAATGACGAATCACAAATTCTTTACTTAAAAAGGAAAGTGACAAAGTTAGTGGGTCATCTAAAAAAGAAAATTTGTCAAAATTATAAGGGATGGAGGGAGTAGATAATTACTCCTGTTTCAAAATTATTTGTCACAATTAGCTTTTCAAGTAATTTCTTGAAGTATAACAAAAAAAAGTACTACCCCCATTCCTGAATTGTCTTTCAAATTTTCTTTTTTTGTTGTCTCAATATTTTCCCCTTTTCGATAAAGAATTTGTGGTTCAAAGTTTTTTTACACACTTTTACAGTTTACACACATTCCCTTCTTTTCTGTGCAACTCTTGACCATTTGATTCTCACTTTCTCAATTCCCGTGCAAAACTCATTTTGGAACATAATAACTCAGTGACAGAGGGTAATTTTTAAGTTAGTTAGAAGTATTGTACCGCAGAAAAGAGGAAAGTGGGATAATAAGAGTAATTTTAAGTTGGTTGTGAGTGTATTGTACAGTAAGAATGTTGTAGAAAAAAGGAAAGTGATGTAATTATTTCGAAACAGGGGATGTTATTCAGTGACTTTTAAAAGTGAGTTTAGCGTGACTAACTGTTATGAATTATGATTTGAGTCATTTAACCACCAGGTCCCAAAATGGCAAATAAAATTTCCTTTTGTACACGTTTTTATACCCATCAGTACACGCTTGTGTCTGTGAGAGTATTTTTTTGTCTGTGAAGCACAGTCCACAGACATAAGTTGACTTGTGTTGTCTGTGAAATTTTCCACAGACAAAACAAACTAGCTTTTGTCTGTGGACTGCGCTTCACAGACAAAAAATAACTCTCACAGACACATGCGTGTACTAATGGGTATAAAAACGTGTACACCAAGAATTTCTCAATGGCAAAAACTAGGTCCATTCATATTCAAATGACGTATGTTCTCACTTTTCTCATCTTTCTCCTTTAGTCTTATTTGTGCCGTTCAAATTAATTCTTACTTTGTTAGTTTGTTTACACAACAAATTTCATTTCTATGTGTTTCATCTGAAACATACATGAAAAAACATGAAGCAAGTCGATATACTGCAATAAAATATTCATAATAAAAAAGGTGAACCCTTTTCCACCTTAAAGTTTAGTACAAAGCTGGGGAAATCCAGACTTCAGATTGTCAAAATTCCCAGCATGAACATTGGATGTATACTAAAAGTACTTGAATAGTAAAACCACAAAGTAGTTCTCAAGAAAATAAATGAATCTCTCTTTGATCACCAAACCATATAGTAGCAGCCCAAGTATGTCTCTAGATGTGAGGAGCAGCAAGACTACCACATGTTGAACGGCAGGAAATAAATAGAACTTGCAAAATCCTGTTGAAAACCAAGTAAAACCTACGCAGAAATTGATGAAAAGGTCATCAGAAATATAAAACCGCTTTTTGCAATTTTATGAAGTCGAAATAAATGTGCAAAGCAACAAACCGCATGCACAACACACCATCCATGACACATTCACTCAGTTGAAGCTGAAACCACCCGAAGGAACGGCTACATCTCCACTGGCACCAAACTGGAATCCACCCTGTTGCTCAGATGCAACATCGCCGGGTGGCATAGCATCATCTTCTTCCTCCAACCAATAAGTCTCTAGAATCTTCACCGCCTTCTCATAAATCTCCTGGTTGTCGTGACTTTGAAGGTTCTCTATTTTTTCCAAACCTTCACAATCCTCGATCATTTGAGCATAACCATTTGTGTCGCCCATCAAGCCCATGTTCTTCTCAGCTTCCCCAACCTTCAGAATGTTTTCAAGTCCTTCGAGGCAGACAGTGACAATTCTTGGGTCAGGACAAACGAGAAGATCACACAGTGGCTTGATACAACCTTGACTTACAAGGTACCTAATGTGTTCACGTTGAAAATAACATTTAAATTGTTTGAGTATATCAAACCTATATTATAAAATATAGTACACGCTAAATTCAGCACACATACTTAATCTGATCATGACTACCCCCAGATGTGGCATTTGAGATAGCCCAAGCAGCTTCTTTTTTAATATCAAACTCTCCATTTTGAAGCAAATCAATAAGAGGTCCAATTATATTAGCTTCTATCACAGCCTGCATTGTAAAAAGAGATTGAAGTGAAGTACTCCATTTAATTTAAAATCTCCCTCCTCCATCCCAAAAAAGGAGTGGATTTGTTAACAGTCATGTAAAGCAAGGGAAGTAGTTTTAGAATATTGAAGTAACCACTGATAATTTGTAAATTGAGTTTGAGTAAAGATAACGACTTGTTCAATACTAAAACATGATTTGTATTTTTTACAGAGGGAGTACTTTTGTATAACACTACAGTATAATAAAGATTAATGTTATTAAGGGGGTGTTTGGATCTAATTCTTAAAACTGCTTCTGCTCCTTGAAGGAGCAGAAGCAGAAGCTGGAGTGTTTGGGTAAAGAAGTGAATCTGGTTCTCAAATTTACTCCTAGAATCAGTTTTTTTAGAAGCTGGGGGTGACCAGCTTCTGAAACTGATTCTGATTCTACTTCTGCTTTAAAAAAGAAGCAGAAGCAGAATCAGTTCCAAACACCCCCTAAGTAATGATTTTGATTTGAAATTGAAAGGGCCATAATAAGTAAAGAAAGACGCAAGTTTTACGGTTTAATTGCTTGCCTGGATCTGGTCCTTGTTGCCAGCAGTAATGTTTGAGATCGTCCAGCAGGCTTCCTTCTTAATACTTTTCTTGTAGGTGCCCGTTAGTAATGTTGTTAGGCAGTACAGCCCACGGTACTCAATAATACACTGAAACAAAACGACACATACAATATCACTATATCACAAGCTCACCATCCTATAGCCATAAACAATTAATGTTTTATATAATCTAGATTACAAGCCACCCTTTTTAGATTACAAGTTGTTCCTTCAACAAAAAAGAAGGTTGGGAGCATCAGCCTACATTTAAAACCAGCTTATTTTAAAAAATATAGATTATTATAATACTTTTTCTAACAGTTTGTTCATATTGTTCAAGTATTTAAAAGTCGTTATACTATGACAATTTTTTCATCTATTTGCCTATTTCTGTATTGCTTTGCTTTGTAAAGGCATTGTTCCAACTAGAATAAGTTAATTAATTTCAGCAAACTTACGTACACAAAAATTGATTCCAACTATAATCAATTACAACAATAATTGATTATACATATAAATATACAATCAATTACTGGAGCTATCCCAATCAAGCTCTAAATTTCAAATTCTCACCCATAATCATCAGAGAATACAATTTCCATATTGTGCAAACCTATTATGTCATACCTGAGTTTGCATGTCATCTCCGGTGACGATATTCCCAACTGCACGCAATGCAGGGACTATAACTGAAGGTGAAGGGTGCCTAAAAATCCAACATATATGAACACCTCAGAAGCCACATATGCTTGCATGAAAATTTCACCTCGGCAAATCAGTTTTACCAAAATATCAGTTGAATCAAAATACTCACTGTAGAAGCTCCACCAATCGTGGACACACTCCAGAATCAATGACAGCTTGAATTTTATCATTAGTACCATCTGACAGATACGAGAGAGCCCAACATGCATCTGTAATAACTTCTTCATCAGTTGATTGTGTAAGTTGCTGAAGTATCGGAAGCGCTGGCCTAGTCTGTATGGAAACACAAGAATACACATTATAAGACCTCTGGAAGTGCATAGCATCACTCAAAATTAACACTTAAGACCTCTGAAAGTGATTATACTGTCATTTATTATTGATGCCGAAGTAGTAACCAAAATAATATCAAGATACCATTATAGACAACACACAACACCATCATTATATCTTTCAAGAGATTATACACACTCACATATGATGCCATAAAAATCATCATGAATATTGTCAAGACAAGTTAAAGCAAGCTTGTAAGTTCTGAAAAATGATGAAAATAGCAAGTTCTTGTACTAATAGAAAGTTCAATAGTAAGAATCACACGAATCTGCAAGTAATAAAAGGGCGACACTCACTACAGAAATCCCATAAAGTCCCAAGTTTTGTTCTAATGAGTCTGCATTTTTTTGTTCTAATAGAAATCCCACAAAGTCCCAAGAAGTTCTTGTTCTAATGACACCTCACATTCTTGAAATCTTGTCCTATTGGAACTGAAAGTTCTTGTTCCAAAAATGTATCTACAAGTACACAACAGATAAAAAGACCCCCCCCCCCCCCACAAAGGCCTACGTTTACTTTAGTTTTCACTTTTCAATGTGTATGTGGAAAGAAGAGCAAGGGACAGGTGATCAGCATACCAGTTCGAAAGGGGGCTGTGGTTTGCCTCTACAGAAATTTGAGAGCGTCCAGGTGGCATTTCTCAGCATAGACAGCTTGGCATTTGCATTTAACTGAGCAGTCAAAGGATTTAGAGCACCCAAGCTTAACACAAGATCCCGACATTTGGGAGAATCACCAGCTACATTTCCCAATGCCCATACAGCCTACAAACAGTTAACAGTAGCAAATGATACGCAGCACACAAGCAATGCAGAAGGCAAACAAAAACCAACAGAAGACGGTCAAGTGGTCAACTATATTTTCTTCCATATCACACACCTGTTCCCGGACATCATCACTAGAAGAACTGAGAAGCCTCACAAAGATTGGGACGGCTCCAGAATCAATTACCACCCGAGTATGCTCAGATGTTCCTGAAGCAATATTGGTGAGTGCCCATGCTGCCTCAAACTGTTGCCATTTCATGAAAGCAAACCAAACTAATAAGGAATAGTGCTGGAAAAACAAGAACATTAGTGCTGCAAAATAC